GAAGATATTGAAGAAGAATAATGTGAATATAGTGAAAGATATTTTCAATGAATAAGTAATCATGTAAGCACTTGTAAGATCCAATTGGTTTTGAAACAATAAGAATCAAATAGTGTATATTCGTGTAATTGTCAGATTCTCTTATTTGGAATCCGACTCACTGAGAGTGAATTAACCCATTGCGATACCGCATGCTCTCAGTAGGGTTTGGCCAAATCAAAACTATCAGCCATTATCGAACAGAATATATTAACGTTTATGTATTATTTATATATATATATATAAAACAATATAAACTAAATTATTTCTTTAGAAAAATATACATAATATAATAAATATGTGTATTATGTATTTAAGATAAAAAACATTATAAATTTATTCTCAATATAAACAAATAACATATGTTAGAATTGTATTCTTTAATTACCTTTAGGAATTCCTTTTTCTACGAATTTTGCTGCATAATTTTTATGGCGCTTAGCTGAAACGAAAAATAAAATAAATTGCTTTAAAAAAATATATAAAATGTTTTCAATGTTCATAAATACATATATTGTCTGAAAATGTAAAGTAGATAATGAGATACTTCACATTCTTAAGGCTACAGAAATATGCAATAAACCAATGAATTTGTTTATTAATTTAAACAATTCTTTTGAAATATTTAATATCTTACACAAATTTTTCCTTGAAGATGCAATAAGCAGAAATGTATTCTGGAAATCTTTTTTATTACAATTAATTTGAAATTTATTCTTAATTCTTGATCTACTAATGATATACAATAATATTACATTTTAAATGAGATTATTTGAAGGCAAGTTTTTGAAGGAAAATTGCAATTTAAAATAAAATATATAATAGCTTCGGTTTTATGTTTAAGAAATATATTCTTTTCAAAACATATTTTGATATATATTTTTAAAAGATGAGTCTAAATAATATTGTCACAATTTATTATCAAAATTTGAATGCAACCCAACATAATGAATGTGTTCGACAAAGTGCAGTGCTCATATAGAGTCGTCAACTTTTTCTGTTCCTGAACCTAAAATTTCTTCTTCGAGACAAGCATCTTGATTTGATTATAGCCATAAAATATAGCTTGTAGAAAGAATAGGAAACTATTTTACAATTAAGCTATGGAAAATATATAGACGATTGGATTAATCGCAAAATTTAATTTACTCGTAAACTATTTTATATCGTCTAAATCAGAGGTGTCCTAAGCACGGCTCACTGGCTTCATGCGACTCGCGACTAATATTAGTGCTTCAATTCTACCAAAATTAGGCAAATTTTTCTTTGTTATATTTTAGTAATATCCCACTATTTTATTTTTATGCTATCCCAAATAAATTAATTAAAATGATTTTAGTATAGTATATATAGTATTTATTACTGCGACTCTTCAAGCTATTCAGTGATTTGTATTGGGCAGCGATCTTATCCAGTCTGGACAACCCTGGTCTAAATAGTTCTTAGCGTTTAAAAGAATATTAATACTAGGTATAAGTTTCACGACTGAAGCCATTTAAATATTTCTAACAGGAGAACAAAAGCTCCAAAGAAATAAATGCTGCCAATATTGATCGCTTACGAACTACGACTGAAAACTTAAATGGGCTGCAACTATAACTATTATATTATAATATAAACAAGATATATAGGTAAAAAGTATTCTAATATGTAGAAAGCTCATCCGCTTACATTTTCATATCAAAGAATATTTAGAACACCACAGATTTGTCTAGAAAAATATTAACAAAATTTTGATTACGAAATATTGTTTACATAATTGCATCGGCACTATATCAATAAAGTAATTTAAAATCAAACAGAATATAAATGTTTTTTTCATTGCAAATTCATGTTTGCAATAAAAACCTAATATTTTACAAATTTAATTTGAAAATAGAATTCGCAGGTGTAATTTTTATAAACAATATTTTGAAAAGTTTTGATTTTATAATTAATAAATTACATCATTTTTTCATCTCAAAGGTTTAAGCAAGTCACTGGTTATATAAATCAAAGATGTATGCAACCTCTTTAAACTTTTCAAATCTTTCAATAAATTATTACAGTATTTCTTCTGACATACTTATATTCTTTATCTAGGTATATTAAGATAGATGATCTCAATCATTAATGAAAATTAATAAAAATTAAGATGATAAATTATATCAGATTATAAGATCTAGACTCTTCATTATAGTACACATTAAGTAAAAGCTTTCTAGTTATCATCTACCTTCTTAACTTAAATATAAAAAATTTTAATTGTTTAATATGTATGTGCTTGAGAACCACATATATATTACTAACCACTTAACTAGCTAATAACTTTAAAGAATGATAATAAATTTTTAACTGGTTGTAGAATACGGCTGCAAGATAAGAGATAGGAAACAGATTGGTCAAAATATGTGAAACTTCATATGAAACCAAAAGCCGATATAAAGACTATTCTGAAAAACAATATAGCAATTGACATTTTAATTTTTTCGTCGATAAAAAAAATTTATATTGTTTCAACATAAGAAGACGTCTAAAATCTTTCAAAGCATCTCATGAATAATCCATCGGTTTCTTTATGTAACTTTTTCACTTATTTGCACTTTGCATCTATTGACGAAATCAAAAATATAAAAGAGCGATGCATATATGATTAGGTTACAATCCTAATCATTACAATTGATGATTAGATTACAATCCTTCTATATTTTTCTTAATTTTTTCGCTATTTTTATGATTGAAGATTTCGAAAACCATCGGGACAAATGTGATCTTTAATATTTTTTTGTATTCTTTTAATATTTTTTATTAAACTTTTTGCTATTTCATCGCTTGAAGAAATTGAAAATCATCTAGAAGTAAGAAATGTATCTTTAAAATCGTTGTACAATTTTCTTGATTTAATCGCTTTTTAATCACTAAAGCTAAAAATTATTCAAAACAACGATTATTCTTAAAGATCTCTTTGTGTCCTTTAATGGGTTACAGATATTCAAAATCATTTAGAACTGTGTACTTCTGTGTAGTAGCCCAAACGTCCCAAATCACTTTAACATGATTTCATGCAAAATTTTTAACTACACGTATTTTTGGTTATACCGCATCTCATGAGTGTTGTAGCTTCCAGAGAAGCTACAACCATTCCAGTAGTAGTTTTTCATGTCACCCCTAACCACCCCTAACCGAATAGAAAACATTCATACTTACGAATTAAAAGCAACATATCTCGCATTAGAATTTTTTAAATATAGAACGAAAATATAGTCATTATAGGTACAAGGTGTTTCTCCTCGACCGTACGTAAG